GTCCCTGTAGTGTTTCATCTCTTAGCCTTGGCACTCCGGTTCTAATTTGTCTTGCATTTGGCAGGATAGCCACATTTGCCGCAGGTTGACTTCCAAAGGTGGTGGGCCTTAGAGGCACAGCGGCAGCACAGTGTGTGTGTCTTATTGAAACGATTTCCAAAGGATGATTTTCCTTTTGTCATCTTACTTGTACCAAGGCCAAAGAGCGGGATTTTACTTTTTGTTTTATTTGTTTTCTGTTTTATTTATTAGTTCCCATTCTGGGAGGTCCCTGGCTGTTTTAACATATTTAAGAGTTCAGTTTATTACTTTGTGCTTATGATAGAGGTTGTCACTCAGTTTGGACAGGTCCTGCAGGCCTTAGCTCAGGCCCCCGTTATGAGACGTAGAGTGTGTCTCAGGCCTCGTCATGCTTCTGCTTTGCTTTTGTCTGTTCTCTTTTTCTCCCATGCTACTTTTATTATTGATATACTTGAAAGTCAAATATTTGGGTTGTTTTATTTTCCCCCACTAGAATACTAACTGCTATCATTTGTCTTTTAATCAATATAGTTCAGCCAATTAGAATAGTGCCCAGCATAAAGTGATAAGTATCTGTTGAGGATATTAACCTGACAATACTTGTAGGCCTTTTCTTATGGATTGCCCATTTTGCCCTACAGTGAGTCTTTATCTGACCTGGGTACGTGGCAGGCTAGGTGGAGCATGTATGGCAGTTACAAGGTGATCTATCTAGAAGTCAGTATTCTTGTGGCTGAGCAAGACAAAGGGAGTTAAGGGACTTAGCTAAGGGAGCTAAGGCATGTAGACTTTTGGCCAGTTTTACTGTTTGATTGTTGGTTTATTTTTATTCCAACAATTATTATTCATTATGTTATTCATTCCTTCAGAACTGTCTTCACTTCTAGTTCAGAAATACTGAAGTTCAGTTACCTTGCTTCCTGTTCGTCTTAGCCCTCTTGTGTCTTTGTTCTAACCCATCTCTCTTCATGCTGTGCAATGAGCACAGTGCATGGTACTGAGCTAGAAATTAGTTGTCTGACTGAGCTCTCTCGCAGTTTGTATCTGCTTGTCTGTCCCTTGCTTTTATGGATTTCTGTGTTTTCCCCAATGACTCAGTTGTTGCTTCAGTTGACTGTGGGACGAAGAGGAAAGGATGTATATCTGCTAAATTCTGTTTTCAAAGTCCTTCCAGATCATAGTCAGTGCTGTTTGTATAAAGACTAGTTGTTAGATGTATTTCCTGAGCATAAAGAACACAAAGCACTGTAACTCAGTGATTGCTTTTTCTTACTAGGTTTTCAAATTGTTCCACATCCTGCTGTATGCTAGGCACACAAGTTGTTGACTGAGTGAATGGGTTTTCAAGTAGATGGGATCCTTGTCTCCTGGAAAGCTGTCTCCTTGTCTGCTTGTCTACACTAGAGCACAGCGATTGCAGAGTTAGAGAGTGGAAGCACTCTGAGTGTTTGCCTACTTACTTACTTACTGTTCTATAGTGACAAACAGACTTACAGCAAGGTGTAGACCCAATAAGAATGTGAAGCTTAGCATTCGTAGCACAGGGCATGAGCATTGGAGGGTGTCTGTAATAAACATGGTTTCATTGACCTTAGAACTAGTTTTCTGAAGATGTGTTAAACCAGCATCCTGGTAGTTGCTACCTAATAACCCTAAAAGGAAAATTAGTTTTAGCAGACAAAGGTTTCATGTGACAGATGAAAAATCCCTGGAGTCATTTTTATTTTTAAAAACATAAAAGTAGTTTACAAAAGGTGTCTGAATCCCTCGTTATGTTTTAAAGTTTTAACTTAATTTTATTTTATTTAACTGTATGGGGTTTTACCTATGTCTATGCTTGTGCACCACTTGCATGCAGTGCTTGTGTATGCAAGAAGATCCCCAAGAATTGGAGTTAGGGGTGTTTGTGAGCCTCCATATGTGTGCTGGGAATTGAACCCCAACCCCCTCGAAGAGTAGCCAGTGCTGTTAACCACGGACCCATCTTTTTAGCCCAAAGCTTGACCCATTTTCAGTGATGTATAGTTAGTGTCTCTTGATCTTTGCAGGTTTCAGAATCTGCCTCTAGCTTAGTGTAAAATACTTTGACCAGTGTTGTAGATGGTGTGGTTAAATTTCTGAAGCAAAACACTGTTAAGGTTTTGTGTGAGAAGGTATTATGTTGAGAAACTTATGAAAGCATTTTCAGATTGATACTTTTACCAAGGGACTAGCTGCAAGCAGCACAGTTAGTGGCTGTAGCAAGAGCAGGTAAGATGGACAGTTTGAGGTGTGGATATTACTGGTTACCTGGCAGCAGTCCTCAGTCTGTCTTCCTTTCTAGACAGTATTTTCACAACATGGCCAATGGGAAACTTGATAGCTTCTGACCGCCTATTGGACCTCACTGGACATGTCTGTTACGTGGTACTCAGGGGACGTGACTATGCAGAAAGAAAAGTCCTGGCCATTTTAAGATTAAAAAGGTTTCTTTCTTTCTTTCTTTCTTTCTTTCTTTCTTTCTTTCTTTCTTTCTTTCTTTTTTTTTTTTTTTTGCTGTTTTTAATACGGATGCAAAAAAAGTCTACATATCAAAGTGAAAAGCTTACTGAGTTTTCACAGAAAACATTCTTTATAATAATAACCAGTTAGAGAAAATTCCTAAGAAATTCCTTTACATGCTTTCTAAAATCTGAAGCCTAGAGTAGTTTCTGTCATCATGTCTCGTTTGCTTATAGAGAAGGAATATGTTCTGTATAGTTTTGGGTATAAGTTCTCTGCTTTATCGTATTCATGATAGTCCTCAATATAGATGAGTATGGATAGTTCCTCTTTGCTGCTACATTGTATTCCATATTGTGAATATACTACTGTTTATCTATTTGACCATTAGTATCTATTCAAACAATCACATACTGTGTTTCTATGAGCATTTTAATATATTGAACGTAGCCTTGAAATTAGAGATCTGCCTGCCTCTGCCTCCCAAGTTCTGGATTAAAAGCATGTACTACCATACTCAGCAAATATCTAGCTATTTTGAATAGGAGTTTTATCTGTGTGTTCTCTGGACAGATATATATCAGCTCACCTTGAGGTTTACTTTTCTTCTTGTCAGTTTCATCCATGTATAGTGAGTTTTAATTATTTTTCTTCCATCATTGTTCCCCCTTCTCTTCTGCTGAAAATTCTTCTCAACACATCCATGTTACTTTCATATCTGCCTTGATTTTTTAAAAAATAATTTGCCTCTTTCATTGATTACGGTTGCTTTTATGAGCATGTGTAAGAGGTTATTTTAGAGTAAGGATAGTTCATTAGTGCTGCACAACTAAGGAACAATGCGTTCCTCCACCACTGACTGTTCTTCCTGGAAGGGCGGGGTCTGATGGTTTCCTCTCCCACTCATGGAATGTGTACAGGCTCAGTCTCACGTTGGTGACTGTAGCTTCTATGAGTTCATGAGTACAATAGGGTCTTGGCCATGGGACTGCACAGCATACTCTAGCTTTTAACGTCCTTTCTGTCTCTTCTGAGATGTCCTTTGAACCATAGAGGGGATGAAATAGACATCCCATTTATGGGTCAGCATGTCATTGTCGCTTATTTTTGGCTTTCTGATCAGTTGTGAGTCTCTGAATTAACTGTTGCCCATTGTAGTAAGAAACTTCTCTGACCAGGGCCCCCAAACAGCGCTGGCCTATGAGTATGAACATTACTATTAAGACAGCTTGATAACGTATTCATTTAGCAAACACAGCAGTAACAGGTTTTCTATTAGGCCTAGGATTTTCCTGTTGATGGACTCTTGACAAGTTGACACTAACAGGCACAAGTTGCCTCTTGTAGGCTAAATGTATTAAAAAAGCAATTGGTTATCCCTGGAGGTTTATTTCTTTGTTAAAGTTGTGGTTGTTGGTGTTGTGTACACATATGGTATGTGTGTATTTGCATGTGCAAAAGTGCCAGATGTTGATGCCAGATGTCTTCTTTGATTGGGCTCCAATTTTTTTTTTTTTTTTGACAGAGTTTCACTGAACCTGGAGTTTATTGTTTTGACTAGGCTGGCTCATCACTGAGCTCCATCTTAGGCCCTTAGCACTGGGGTTATACTCTGTCTGCTTGTTGTGGGTGTGGAGAATCTCCACTGTACTGTGGAATTGGTTACTTGTTTTGGGACAGAGCTATAGGGACGGTAACACTTTCAGGATACACAGGCAAGTCCTGGAGAGAAAAGGGAGAGTGGAAAAGGGCACCCAAAAGAGGCGAGACGTGAGAAGAGGGGATTTTCCTTTTTCTCTTTTAGGTTACATCCAGTATTTTGAAAGAAAAAGAAGTCTGACCCAGGAAGGATCCCATGAACTTGAAAGTAATGAAATTTGTAGTGTCTTTGTAACTTACAAACTTCTTACCAAGAAAGTAGGACAGTCCATATAGGAATGATTTTGAGCTATGAAAGTGTCAGTTTCTTTTAAAAGTTTTATTTGGGACAGAATAAAGACAGAACAGCAAACCAAACAATGGAAACAGTGGCTTGAATTTCAGTGACTTTTGGTTCAGGATTATAATAGAATCTCCAGCAATTTCTAAAATGACCTAAATATACTTCTATCATTTTATCATGTATTCATGCAAAGTGAAAGTTTCAGCATTCATGACTATAAAATCAAAATATCAATCAACTAAACAATATTGACAACGTTATAATCTTATACTCTCAAATAATTCCATCTTTAACAAATTATAAAATTCTATGTATACCAAAAATTATTTTAAAATCAATTTTTTATGATTTAGTATTAATAAATGCTTTATCCGTTTTATGTTCAGGGTCACATAAAGGTTCATAAGTTTAAGAAGCCATGGGTTAGTGGGCCAAGTAGAGTGGTTAGTATTGTTATTATCTCAGTGAGCAGAATTTTAAATATAATTTTAGAAATCATTCATTATAAACTTATTCATAGAATGAAAACATAATTGAATTTTTTTTTTCTTGTCAGCAACTTGAATTGGTGGAACCAAGTGGCTGGATTCACGTTCCTTTGACTGACAATCATAAGAAGCCAACTCGCACATTCATGATACAGATTGCTGTCCTAGCCAATCACCAGAATGGAAGAGATACCCACATGAGACAAATTAAAATATATACACCAGTAGAAGAGAGCTCCATTGGGAAATTCCCTAGATGCACAACCATCGATTTCATGATGTATCGTTCAATACGGTGACTTTAAAATGGACAGAAGTGAACAGACATTTGTTTTATCCTAATATGGTGACTTTAAAATGGACGGAAGTGAACAGACATTTGTTTTATCCTGTCATTGCATAGTATATCAAGTATCTTTGGTGAAAAAGCATGTTACTTTGCAATTTTACATACATTTAAAAATAATTTAGATAAATAACTTTTAGGTCATGTTTGTTTTTTATGTAATAAAGCTCATATATTTTATGTTGCTAAAAATGAATTTGAAGCCAATCTTTACATTTTTTACATTAAAAGAAAACTAGTTAAACTGCAATTTTCAAGATGTATATAATATTTTTTTTTACCAGTTACATTGTGGTTATTTCATATAATGGTTGTTGGATATTGGGAACAAAACTCCTTTTCTAGTGTGTATGTAATTTTCGATAGCGTTGATGAAATGGAAACTTAAAGGTCTTTGGAAAAATTAGTTGTGTTGGATGGTGTTTTCCTGGGGCAGACACAAGTGAAAGACTGAGGAAGACACGTGAGGGAATATTTGGCTGAAACAGACACAGGTATGTTCTGCTAAAGCAAGCATGTGAAAGGACTTGTGATGAAGGATTCTTCTTCGCTGATGACATGCATGTATTGGTCCGCCTTACACTGCATAGTTGAGCTGTATTTGTTGGAACTCCAAATCCAAAAATCTTCTGGTGGTGTGCTACAGCTTCTTGCTGCTTCTGCGGGCTGATTGGCAGAGATCTGTCAGCTGGGACAGACTCAACTTGCTGAAGCAAAGCCCCTGTTGAGGCAAAGACCCGTGGAGGACACCTGATGTTTGGAGGGAGTATAAATAGGACTCAACAGACAGTGACGGAGGCTCAACTAGGCTTGCTTATAGAGCTAGCTGTGCAAAGCTTGAGAGGCACAGGCGAGAACTTTTCCTGGTGTCCCTGTTGGCCGTGGTCCCTCCTGCTGGCTTGTGCTAGGGCTGAGGCCTGGCTGTCTCTGCTAGGTAGTGCCACCGCTGCTGATTCGTGTTTGCTATCCTGACTCGACTCCTGTGAACTGAACTGCTTTCCTGACAACGCAGAGGGAGTTGTTCCAGAGAACCATATCTTAAAGAGGTCTGCTTCCCCGGTAACCTTTCCTTTCCATTACCTCTGGTGGGTGGAAGGCTAGAAGGAAGGTTAAAGTCTTTTAGAATCCTCATTTTTAAAAAGGTTTGAAAAAAATTAAAGTTACACAATGATTAATATTTTTAGAGGAAATTAAATGTTTTTAATGTGAGTTTGTTTGTTTTTTATATAGTATCGAAATAAACTGGCACTAGATGTCTGTTATGATTCAGTCTGTTTCTGTCTTTTGGCCCATTCCTGTAATCTAGCCTTCTGGAGGCAGAGACATGAGGATTTTGAGTTGCCGTCTATACAGGAGAACCCTGTCTTAAAGAAACTGGGAGCTTTTTAGAAGGAGAGAATCCAGTCTAATTTGGAGAATATAATTGTTTCAACCTTTTCTCTTCTGTGAAATATTTGTAAACCTAGGATTTGTCTATATTTTTACAAAATCGTGTTAGAAATTGCCATTATAATTTGAAGTTTATCTCAGTCCATATAATACTTAGAAGAATTTCAGTTTGTGTCTGACATTGTAACATCTTCCAAAGATATTTCCTATGAGAATTTAAAAACAAGAAATAGCTTTTTTTTTTTCTATAGAACTTGGCTTTCCAATGAGTGTTGACTAGTTCTTGACATTGTACCGTGTGTCTGATTGGGGTGGAGTCATTAGCTCCAAGAGTCCCCCAAGACTCACTTTTGTCTTACAAAGGTTGTTCTTGCACTGTTGGTGTATGAAAGGCTAAAACAAAAATGTCTGCAGAATAACAGTGTGCTTGCTTTGCTTTATTCTGGAAGCAAGTACTGTCTGCTTGATTACTACTGAAAATATAGCTTCACTTCCTCAGTCATCGAAAACTCTTTTATTCTTTGAGTTCTAAGAAGAGTTTGTTTCTTTGTTTAATTCTCTTGGAAGTAAAAAGCATGTTAGAGATCTAGTGTAGGGTAGGTAAAATCCTATAGTCAGATTCAGTAGAGATGGGCACAGGATGCTGGGAAGAGTGTAGGAGCTTGAAGCACGGAGCGCGGAGGAGAAGAGCACCAAGGAAATAAGGATGGAGGCAAGCAGCAGGCAAGGTGTTAGCAGTTACAGCAAGAAAGGCACCTTTAAGAAGTACAAAAGGCTGTTAGGAATAATGCCACTGCTTACTAATTGCTTTATAAAAGTCTGCTTAGAAGGACTAAGTCTGCACATTATCCCACTAGTAGTTTGATAAGACATTCCTAAGTTGAGAGGAACTGAAAAGAATGTCAAGAAGGCCTGTGATTATTTATATAGCCCAGGTTGACCCCAAATTTGTCACGTAGCTGAGGATGCCCTTGAACTGGTCCTTCTGCCCCTATCTCCCAAATGCTGAGATCACAGACATGTGATACTTTGTCCCACTTTGTGTGGTACTGGGGATGCAGACCAGGGATTCATGCACGCTAGGCAAACATCCTGCCAGTCCCATTTACCTGGTTGTCATAACTATCAGGCTGACCATCTTAACACGCATTGGAAATACAGGCTGAGGACTACAGAAATAATGTATTCCTTTAACATAATGATAGTTTGAAATACAGATATAGCTTTATATTGCTATAGCTTAATTATTAAAGCAGTGTCCTGCTCTCAGCTTTGTTCAGAGAAGCATCTCTTTGCAGTGACCAGTGCAGAGGTCCATAACTGGTCATTGTTCTCAGAACAACGGACTGTTGAGTGTGCTGCTCCAAATGGGATGTTGTCTCTGTCTCCACTCCAAGGTTTAGACAACGTCAGGGGAGATGAGCACTCACAGCACCAGTGGCTGCTTTCCCAAACTGGGCCATCTGTACTCCATCATAGGGCCCTGTCCTTCCCAGAGGAGCTTAGACAAATCAAGGTTGCAAAGGACTGTTCCAGAAAGTGCCCCTCACATACGCTCATGCAGGAACCACTAGTCATGTGCATTGAATCACTGTAAATGACACAGAAGCAAGGGGACTTGAGGAAAGAAGCATTTGGTGGGATGGGGAATGAGAGGGACGCTGATCAAAGGGGTGACAGGTGGGGAGCAAAGGGAGAGAGTAAAATTGTGAATGAATACATTTAAAACTCTTGCCCTTTTTTAAGGAGTATGTGTATGAGGCAGTGGGCCATGTCAGGAAACTTAGTAAGCTTGAGTGGGTTCAGAAACTCCAGCATCTCATAGCGAAGGATGGTAAGGTGTTTGACCTACTCCTGACCAGGTTCCTGGCCTGGAAGACAGGACCACAACTCCCCACATAACGAATGTGACCACAGGCCACATAACACAGAACATAAAGTTCTCCATGTTAATGAGGTGTCTAGATGGGCCTGGAGGATTTAGTCAGTGAGCCTCCCTTCCTGATGTTCCTTCCTGTGAAAGGTATTTAATGTCTGGTCCACCCCGAGGAAATTGTATGCACCCATTTTCCACAAGGTACAGTGAATAAACAGTATGGACAAGCAAGGACTATCTCAACAAGAACACCCATGGAGGAAGTCTTCAGAGCCTGCCTGAGTTTGCTGCAGAAGGCCCCTCTGTGCTCCCTGACCACTCACCGGCTGAGCTAAGCTGGAATTCCCTATACTCCTGGCCCCAGCCTCATCGCAGGCCCACAGGCCCCCTTGTTCCTGACCCCATGTAGTTTCCAGCGGTGATTGAACACCTAGGAATTAGGGAACCCCAGCCTCAGCCTCAGCCTCAGCCTGTGTCTTTTCTCACCCTGGCTGGGGTCCCCATATTAGGCTGTGTTCCCCCACCCCCTGAGCAGTGTATCAGAGCTTCCCACAAGCCCAGCACCTGATGGCAGAGTAGGGTAAAATGCAGTCTAGCATCCCTCATTTGTCTGCCCAGCGGAGTTCCCACACCCCAGCAGTGAGGTGGAACACGGGTTAAACACAGATCTTGTGTATGGCAAGTATGCTCTCGACCTCTGAGTTATAGCCTCCAGTCTACACTTTTAAAAATACATGTTTATAATCCTAATACTTGGGAGCGGAGATGAGAATTAGGAGCTTCAGGCCATCTTGTTTAAAAACCACAGCAAAAACTAAACATTTTCAGTGGTAGAACATTTGCCTGGCATGTACAGAGTTATGTGCATAAAAGTGCACATTGTACGTTATGTATTTAACAAAAAATTATTTTTAAATATTTTATTTATTAATTTATATGTGTATACTGTCGCTGTCTTCAGACACACCAGGAGAGAGCATTGGATTCTATTACAGATAGCTGTGAGCCACCATGTAGGTGCTGGGAATTGAACTCAGGACCTCTGGAAGAGCAGTCAGTGCTCTAAACTACTGAGCCATCTCTCCAGCCCTTAACAAAAATTTATATCTAGAATAGGTATTTTTTAAAAAATCCTTAAAACTCAACAGAAAGAAACAAATGTGATTAAAAACAAGCAAAAGATTTCATTGGTATTTACCAAGTGAAGCTGTGAGCAGCCATTCTGTACCCATGTACTAATATTCTTCCCAAAGGAAGAAAGTGTGTGTCTTGAAGATTCATGCGGGCATGCTCTTCAAAGCTTTTTAAAAACAGGTTCTGTATCATTTATGATGTTTAGGACCAGAAATAATTTGAAAACTTAGAGTAGGGCATAATTTTGATATTATGTGGTATTTGATAAATTTGATAAGTGATAATTTACATGAGACATTTTAAGAAATAGGAACCCAGATTTTCCAACATAACATTTGTTTTGTATACACCTCACACAGTAATTTTATGCAATATTTGTAGTGTGCTTAAAACATGAGTCAGATGTGGAATGCTCAAAAAGTTTCAGATTGTTCCAGATTTTAGATGTTGAGATTAAGGATGCCCAATCTGTACTTCAAAGTCTCAAAAATCTGGATCAGTAGGAGGCTGTTTAGAGAAATTGCAGTTCATCTATTTCATGAAATAACTATTTGGCAGTAAAAATGAGCAGGCCATATGCAACATTATGTGTAAGACTTTCCAAAATAATTACATGAAGAGAGAAGTTCAGGGGAGTGTGTATTTAAGAGCCTACCTTTTAAAATAATAAAGTTTCAGAAAATACAGCTAAGATGATAGAAAGTACAGCAGTGACTCTATAGCATAGGGAACAGGCAGAAGAAGGGTGGACTGCTTTGGTGTGTGGTGGAAATTCACAAGGGCTTCCCATGTGTACA